CCTTTTGTTGAAAGTTAATGAATTTCCACATACAAGTAATTCTCCAAATAATGGGCCCCAGACCCTAGAGCACAGAAACCTTTATAAATCAGGACTGTTCCCAACACGGCCACCAAGTGTTCACAAAAGGGGGAGAGTCAGGGACATAACCAGCAAGTGGACTTTGCCACAGACTCCAGGCACGACCCAAGCTCCTGGGAGAGGCTCATTCTTCTCCTGCCCTTTGCCCTGGGCACGGCCACAATCCCTGGTGACAGGGTGGGACATGGCCATGGCTCCCTGTCCCTGGAACAGCACCCCAGGGTGCTGGTTGTAGTTAGACACAGAGCATGTGGAGATGCTGCGTTAAGCCAAATGGAACCCATGAGGGCATCATCCCACAGTTTGGGGGCTGCATTTGGCAGTTGGAACTGGATGATCTTTGAGGTCCCTTCCAACCCAAACCATTCTGTGATTCTATAATTCTATGATTTTCAGCTCCAGCTTATTCTGCCATGGAAATGGTTTTAAATGAGGTACTATGAAAATACGTAGTTCTTGAAAGAGCAGAGAAAAGGTGGCAATCTCTACAGCTGCAGGAAGAAGTCCTAGTTGTCTTCTCAGACTGGTTTGGCTAGGAGAGGGCTCTTGCAAAAGCAAAGTTTTAAGTAGTTCAGTTAGAGGTAGGAACTCTGAGAAAAGCCCTTTATTTCTGAGATGCCTGACCCCTCATCCAGAGAGGAAGTCCAACCCCTTCACTAGGAGAGGGCTCTTGCAAAAGCAAAGTTAAGTAGTTCAGTTAGAGGTAGGAACTCCGCAAAAAGCCCTTTATTTCTGAGATGCCTGGCCCCTCATCCAGAGAGGAAGTCCAACCCCTTCCCCATGCCCTAAGTGAGCGATGGCACAGCCCAAAGAAACCTCTAAGGAAGTTGTCAAACCCCAGGATGAAAAGAGATCTGGAAGAGCAGGTAAAAGGTAGTGCCACCAACCGCAGCTCGAGAACATCGCGGCGGGCAAATTGCTTTTTAACAAGCAGACAAGTTCTATCAATAGCATCTACCGTATGTTTTTATAAAGTGCAGAAATATGTTTTTAAAAGGCCAGTAAATAAAGTTCCTATCGATTTGATCTCAAGTGTAATCTGTTTTTCTGTCTGCCACCAGCAGTGGTAATAAAACAGAATCATGTAACGCGGTGTTTGGGCTAATGCGACTATACATCACGGCAGGGGCCGCGTGTTCGCCGGCGATCCATCATCTTCTGTTGGGATTGCTTAGCTGCAGAATTTATAAACTTGCCCCAAATTGATGCAATGTCCAATTTTCTTTTCCAATTTATTTTTGGTTGAGCAAAGCAATATTGAGGCAGGACGAGGAGGGCGCATTTCCCGTCTATCCAGATGTTCCCCACAGCTCCTGCTTCCTCTTTGGTCTGGGAAAGGCCCTGGCAGCAGCCCGGGGTTTTTGGGAGGATGTCGACAGATACTTTCATGGCTGCTTTTAGTGTTTGCTCCAGGTCATATCTTTGCAGAAATACCCAAAGGCAGCACAGGATCCTCACAAAGTGAGTTATCCAATGTTTAGAGGGGTCTCCCAGCAAGAACCGAGCATCCTCAGCACCACAGGGTGGATCTCACATGCCTGGACCTCTGCAACACCAGGACAGACCAACCAGCTGCTCCACTCCAGCACAGGGCTGGGAGACAGATGCTTCCCATGTGCCCAAGCCACACACAGGGCAGGTTTGGAAATTTGTGCCCAGCAGATAAAGGGTTTCCAGGGTACCCAAGCCACCAGACACTGGCCTCAAAAGTCTCTTATTCCTTCACTTGAGTGTGCTGTGCTGCTCTCAGGGATAGCAGCCAGATGTAACAGCTGCTTTTGGTGCACCAAAGTAGTCAAAAATGGGTCTTTTGGGAAGTAAAAGCAATGTTTGACAGCACTGGCTGCTGGGCTGTAATGGCCCAGTGACTAAACTGGATAAACACCACTGGATATTAAAAACATCCCTATAAACACACATAAGATGATTGTACTCAAGTCTCCCAGGGCCAGCAGTGGCTTATTCCTATCAAAGCTCAGCTTTGCAGGGTGTCACCCCACTTTCATAGAATCACGGAATGGTTTGGGTTGGAAGGGACCTCAAAGATCACCCAGTTCCAACCCCCCTGCCATGGGCAGGGACACCCTCCACTACACCAGGTTGCTCAAAGCCTCATCCAACCTGGTCTTGAACATTTCAGGGATGGGGCAGCCACAGCTTCTCTGGGCAACCTGTGCCAGTGCCTCACCACACTGTGTAAAAAATTACTGCCTTAGATCTAAAGGTCCTTAGAACTTTGAGCTCCTTCACCCACAAACACATTGACATCACCTGCACCAAGGAGCACCAGGGCACATTGAGGCTGTGAGCAGAGACCTTTGGCCCAGGCAGGGTGGATGCAGCCCCCCCTGGACCCATCAGCCATATCTGGAACAAGGTTGGGAAACGTCCCGTCTCCCCACCTCAGAAAACTGATAAATATTTCCAGAGATAACAACAAACATTCTGCATTTGGCTTTTTTTGGGGGTTGTTTTTCTTGAAGAGACAAAGTGTTCCACAGAAAGCAAACACTTCCTACACAAGTTTTCAGACTCAAACCCCGAGTTTTTCTGCTGCTTATTTTGACGAAAGCAGCGTAGCCAGCCCTTTACCCAGCCCAGCTCTGCCCACCCCACCCAGGATCACCCAGCCTCGGCAGGGCTGGAGCACCCCACTGTGCTGAGAAACCTCACATATAGATGGAGAGAACTTGAGCAAAGTGAGGTTTCCCATTCTCACTTGGGAATTAAAAAAAAAATCAGGTTTCCTGACTTTAGAAATCCCATCGTAAACCATAAAAAGTAACACCATCACTGGTGCACGCCTCGGCCCTGGCACAGGATGATGCAACTCTTGTTCCCACTTCCTTCAGGGTGGTTTTTCAGGGAAAAAGATTATCCCGAAGCATCCTTACAGGTTCAGGATTTAGAAAAATATATATTCCTATTGCCTGAGGCAATTCAGAGCCAGTTCTATGCAACTGATTTAAGGCCATCCAGCCCCTCGCCCAAAATAACCCCCCCAGTTTGCACACTGCAAGAGCTGGAAGGCTCTGGGCGGTGCGGAGCTGGGGATGTGTTTCTGGCTAAGGCCGGAGGAGAGAATAAATGCAAACCAAGGGAAGCAGCAGGGCCCGTGTCCTCAGATGCCACCTCAGCGCAAGATGTGCCGAGTTGTCTTGGAAGGAAACGGTGCCAAATCCACCAGCAGAGACGAGCCATCGCCAGCCCCGATGCCAGCGGGAGCTGCAGACCCTCTGCAACGGGCTTCCCAGGGACCTGCCCACACCCCAGTGCCACAGCTGGCATCTCACCCCAAAACAAACGTGCACGAGTGATGCACAGCCAGGTCCCAGGTCTGGTCTGGGCAGGTTCACTCACCTGCTCCTGTTTTCGGGTTCCCAAATGGAAAGCCTGCACCCCCTGGCACGGGTCTGCCTCTGTTTATCCCCCAAATCCTCCCCATGGCCGGCAGCATCGTTTACTGGATAAAGCAGCACCCATC